ACTTATGAATTCATGGCCACTATGACAATTAATGAGGTTATCCCAGCAATTTATACCGCTGGGGGAATGCTTTCTTCGGAGACTATGGGCTCAGGCCTCCTCAGCTGATGGTCTTCCACTGTAGTTTATTTCTGGATATCCAGACCACCCCCTTCCTTACTGCATTTGCACAGAATTGTAAAAGCATTTTCAAAAGAACAAATAAGGTCATGCTACCCCAAATGGTGGCACATCAGACCCATTGGTTAAAAAAAAGCATTACTTAATTCCTGTTTTTAATCTTCTGATATGAATCCTGTAGGGCTGATGAAAGTCTCCAGAAATAGAGCAGCATATATGTTGTGGGAACAAACAGATTGCTGATAGACAGTCCAATGCAATTGGAGGGCACAAAACTGGGGTAAATTAAACTTAGCCTGTTTTTATAGTGCAGCCCAGGCCTATGCTTATTTACTTTACCCAGCAAAATTCATTTTCAAATAAGCAAGGAATCTAGTCTTAGATTTTAGGTATCTGATCTTGCTCTGCAGCTTTGTGTGTGACTTATCTCAAGTCCTAAGGATACTCTTAGGCAGAATGACCAATGGTTTTGCAATAGACTTTTAGCTGGTATAAAATACCTTATTTTGCTCAGAATCGCTTTGGATAATGAGATGTGGCAGCACATAAATTTAATAAACAACTATATAAAGTTGCTCAGTTGAAGACCCGTTATATTTTGGAGAAGTATTAGCATGATTTTGTATTCAAGAGATATGTGCATAATAAGAAGTATTCTTTGTCTCAATAATGTAAAGCAGGCCAACGCCTGGGCCAAAACCCGGGCTGTGCAAACAAGCAAAGCCCCATCCGTGGACGAGTGGGATGGAGGCAGCACGTGAAATCACCACCCCCTTTGGCTTGTGGAAATGCCTCTCTCCAAGGAACTGGTCCTTGGTGCCCAAAAGGTTTGGGGCCACTGATGTAAAGCACTTGTTTTCTTGGTAATACATATTATTTTTTGTTTACATGCAAACAATAGTTGAAGGAACCTAAAGTAAGTCTATGGCCTTCTCTATAATGCTAGGTTTCTTAATTCAACGCTAACCAACTTACAAAATTTAGAAACATGCATTTAAGAGGAGGAGTGCAATTCATCAGTAGAGGACATGTTCCACATGCATAGAGCCAGCCAAGCATCTCCGGTTAAAAAGCAATCACAGCAGGTGACATACAGGTTTCCTACCCAAATCCCTAGAGAATTGCAGAACAGCCAATGTTGACAATATTGTTAGTCCCCAAATATTATGTCTTTAGCTCATTCTCAGGGATTTCCTCTATCCAAAGGTATATCATATGACTCTTTTCCTTGCTTTAGTCTAAGATACCCTTTAACTCATTGCTGAACTCTCTTTTCAGGCCTGCCCTTTAAAGTGCCAGCTTTTTCAGATCTGGGATGGCAGAAAAGCATTAAGTGGGAAAATTGTTTCTCTCATTTCAAACAACATATGAAACGGGAGAAGCCCTCTTCTTGCCAATCCCAATCCATTCCAATCCCATCAACTTTTAGTTTAAAAAGTCAGCAACTATAAACACTATAAACATATCTAGTTTGCTCTTTAAGATAACTTAAGCGAGCAAGAAACAAAAAGACTTTCCCTATACATTAATGCTTTAAACCAGGGGTCCCCAACCCCCAGTCCATGGACCAGTATCGGTCCACGGCATGCCAGTAACCGGTCCGCACAAACAAGGAAAGCCCCATCCACAGGATGCAGGCAGCATAAAAACCACGCTCCCTCTAGTCCATGGAAAAATCTCTCTCCACATAACCTGTCTCTGGTGCCCAAAAGATTGGGGATCTCTGCTTTAAACAACAGAGATTTACCTGTATCTAAAGGAATAATACTAAGGAACAAAAGATGAGAATATTGGTGCAGAAACTGGATATAACACATGTTTTTTTTGTGGGTAAAATACAGAGGATTCTTGCTAAGGGTTAGAAGTTTATTTCTTCAAATATTTTAAAGTTTCTTGCTATGCAGTCTAAATAACCTGCATCCAGACCATATTAAACATAAAACAGGTATGTAAGTTACTATCAAGCCAATAATCATGGTAGTAATAATAATAATAAATTAATACCATCAGAGAACAACATCTGCCTATTCCAAGTCCTTGGGAAGGACTTGATAAGTGGATAAAGATGCGAAATCCAGTCTAAACATCTAGCTGACTTTGCGACCAACTATAATAATAATAATCCCCAAATTCTCAATAGACAGAAATAGCCTTTGAACACTTTCAGTATCATTTCCCTTTGTGTCTTTTAAAACTCTTTATTGCTGAAATATGTGGTGTATTGCTGTTAGGTTGACCTATATAGCTAGCGGAAGAACAGAATAACATTGGTTTCAATAAGATACAGATAACAGTGCAATTTACTCCTCAGTTTCAACATAAAATAAGAAAAAACAAAGCAGCAATTAAAACAGATACATTTATTCCTTCCTAAAAGTGCATGTCTTGATGAAAATGAATTGTGTAGTTAAATGACCAAAAGATTTAAGAGTGCATGATTTATGGTTTGACATGAATGGGGCCTGAAATCCCCTTTTGTTTCTCCCCACTACCCCATATGGCTCACTACTGGCTACCACTGCATTGCTATGGTTTGTATGTCACCTCCCAAGGATTTCCCAAGGACCTCTACCACTACATTGAGGAAATAAGCACACCTAAACTAATCTATATGTTCTTGTTGGTTTTGCTTTTCAAGATAAATAGCAATAGCACTTAGATTTATATACCACTTCACGGTGGTTTGCAGCCCTCTCTAAGCGATTTACAGGGTCAGCATATCGCCCCAACAATTTGGGTCCTCATTGTACCAACCTTGGAAGAGTGGAAGGCTGAGTCAACCTTGAGCCGGTGAGAATCAAACTGCAAAACTGCAGGCAGCCAGCAGTCAGCAGAAGTAGCTTGCAATATTGCATTCTTACCACTGCGCCACCATGGTTCATAGCAGTATAACTATAAACAAGCCAATGGCAGCTAGTGGCAAACCATGCCATAGGATGGGAGAAGACTAAGTCAGACCACTGTGGTTTGGCTATAGTAAGCAATTAATCAGGATTAATAATTAATCCTTATATAAATCCAAGCCAGGGGACAAAATTATATATGATTTCCAAGTGGATCCAGTTAAGAGAAATGCCACTTAGTTCTCAGTCAGCACATATTTAACTAAAAGTAGAAGAGAATATTGTTTTGGCTGGCCTCTATTTTCTTCACAGATTACCCTCAGATTTGAGTAGTCTGCTCATTTCCAGAGCCTAATACTACCAATGAAGATGAACACCTCAAAAAACAGCATGTGTTTCATTCAGAAAAATAAAATGTTTCAGGTGTAGTTATTTCCCTTATTGGTCCCACCGGAGACGCTCACCTGGAATACCAAAGGGCTATGTCACTTCCAGTGGAGATTCAGGAGATCTAGTACAGCTATAAACACTATATGGTGGAAAGCAAAGCCATCGGGTTCTTTATGCCAACCTTAGCTCCTTAGTCTGAAAAAAAAAATCAGGAAAGAAATTATAGTCTAACATGAACATCAAACATTATAATGGTTTAAAACAGCTCTGTAAGGTTGTGGATGCAAAAGGCAAGCCTCTTCCACCTTTAGAATTGGGTAAATGAAGGGATTTCAGAAGAAATTCACTCTTCCACATTACTACTGAAAATTCAGAAGCCCTGTTTTGTCTCCTTTGCATAGAAGACAGAATTTATATAGGTGTCATATGTATGACTAGAATTCTCTCTTTCACACACTATTAGAAATGCAGTGAGCCTCTGGCTACATTAAAGACTTTGTCTCCTTAACCGCTCTTCCCCAAGTTCTCAGCCTATTTGTCTCACAGACTACTTATGACTGATCTATAGTCCTAATTCCCATCCTCCTTTTCCTTTGAAGAACTAAGTGCAGCCAATGGCAAAGAGGTTTCCGCCTAACTGGCTGGTTTGTGACACTATGATACTATCAGAAGTTTCCACATGACTGCAGAAAAATCTCGCGCTCTTAAATTGAATAAACTGTCAAATGAAGAATTCTACAAAAGAACAATATTCTACTTCAAATTTAATACCAACCTGTATTAAGCAACCTAGTAGAATTAGGTACTATGATTGTATCTTGGAGAGTACATGAAGATTCAATTAAACTTATTTGTGTATTTGAGACTGTGATTAATCTTTCTTCATGTAGCTATTTACAATGATGTTTCCTCTAGTATGTTTCAGCAAGAAACCTAAATAATAAACAGCATCAGAGGTTTATCCAATATTATAGATGTATTTATTAGTATAGTCCTTATACAGTAGAAGCCTAACTAGGTTAGACTGGAATTTCAAAGCAGTGACACACACACACACACACACACACACACACACACACACACACACCACCCCACCCCACCCCACCCCACCCAATTTCAAGTTTTGGAAAGTTTTATTTTTAGGCTGGTATGTTTTTCTCACAAAACTTGTAAATAAGGAGATGTCCATTTAATAAACATCCATTGTTACAAATATGTAAACTATTTCCTTTTTCTAAAATGGTTACCGTATATTTCGCCGTATAAGACGACTCGGCGTATAAGATGACCCCCGACTTCGGCGCCAATTTCAACGCTTTCAAAAGTCATCTTATACGCCGGAATGTACGGTAGTTTCGTTTTTAACTTCCAGTTTTGCCTTTTGTCATGAGTTTTCCTTACAGATGCACATGACCGAGTATAGTTCTGAAATGAGGGGTATTTCTTGATACAGATTTTTACCAATCCTATATGTAAATCACTACATGACCGCTCTGTGAGGTTAATGAGATACACACACACACTTCACTGCATGATTGGCTGCTTCTCAATATGTACATATATTGGACCAAAAAAACCCTCATGATGTGACCATTACATATGGCAAACAGCACATTAATTATATGTTAATCTTTCTGCTGATAACAGGTGGAAGAATGCTACTAATGAGGATGTTGATCTACTAAGCATACTGCGTGTTATCTCTATTACTCATGCCTGCCCTATCAACTACTGGACTGAGCTAAATATATGTTCACCCAATGGTACAATAATATTAAATACAATATGATTAAACAATCTTTTCATTTTGCTTTCATCACATTTTCAAATAATGTTTACGATAGAAGCAATGATTACTCATAGAATTAGAAATGAAGTTAGCAATTTGCTTGACAGGTATTTCTCTTCTTGTCTGCACCATTTAAGAGATTATTTTCAATGGTTGCAACAGCACTTTCAGTCATACACAAGGATCCCGTCAACCGTGCTTTCTAGGATTCAGCTGTCCATCTTATAGCCAATCATCTTTATTTCCAGAGATATGACCTTGTATGTGGCTGCATTAAAACAGATGTTTCTGGAATAAGGCTCAGCTGACCAGGCTATCCAAATTGCAGTGTGTATATCTTGCTCCATCCTCAATGTTATTTACCACTCCAGCAATTTCGTGCAGTTGATCCAAGGACTTGCCCACCAGCTGAGATTATAGAACTGGAACCTGTTTTCTTAATTTAGAAGGAGTGGGGGGGGGACCCTTTATCCTTGTCCATCAGACTCTGAGAACAAAGCTAGTAGTCCATAATACACACACACACACACACACACACACACACACACACAGCTCAAATCCTCTGGAAGGATGCAGAAAGGAACTTTGTGTCAAGCCAGCACAGACACAGCAAAATATCAGCAAATCTGCACAACCCGATATACTGACTACACATTTAAGCTTGCTGTCTAATTTCTTAACAAAAAGAATTAATGGCTTTCATTGTGTCTTTCTAAAATTCAAATCAACATAATTAAAATTTCATTTTTTCTTATTCCTGGACCAGATCAACAGTGAACTTGAAGAACTGATAACTCTACAATGAAACTCCAGGTGGATATGCCCAGCTCTTTCCAGGTTAACCTTTGTGAAGTGTGAAATGTAGCAGCAGGGAATACGAGTAAGCTTTTAAGAGACATATCCCTTTGATGTCTTCTTTTTCTGTTTCTGCAGGGATCAATTCTTTATGTTCCTGGGCAAAACGGGCGAAGGTAGCTAAATAAATAATCCTCCTTAGACATAGAGACTCTCCCTCCCTCCAAAGAGGCTACCAAGTCATCATTTATAGGAAGTTAGCTATAATAGCAGCTTGTTCCTTCTAACAGAGATATTGCTGTTTCTCTCCTTTGCACTTGCATGGCTATCAATCGTAATAGTGAATGGTCACATTTTCCACTTATAGGTCTATGAGTCTGAAATACTTTTGCATGTATCAAAACACACCCGCTTTCAGAATCAAAGATTTATCCAAAGACAAAACAGAGATAAAGTCTCTAAGTGATACAGTACATGGTACAGAAAGAACTCCAGCAAGATTGGATTGTTTTAGAAATGGATGTGGGAGGCACAGGAAAGATAAATATATAGAACTGCAAGTCAGTTTCATTTTAAGCAAACATACGTTGTTTTCCAAGCCAGGAGTTGCAAAAGCATTGAGTGGTCCATGCATATTTTGCCATATAAAGGAGGAATTAATGTGGCGTTCCTCAAAGAATTGGACTTGATGGCCTTAAAAGTTCTATGCTTCTTTGATTCCACACAGCCCCAATTCCCATTCACACCGCAAAATAAAGTATAATGATCAACCAATAAAGGGATTGACATCTTACGGCTTTGAAAGTCTGTCACAATCACTTCCCAAGGCCCAAGCAAGAAGTATAGAGCCACAGATACTAGATCAGGATGTCTAAGTTAAATTTTAAAAGCTCTAGCATGTCAGTTATTCACACAGTGGAAGTAAACAAACATATCTTTCAACAGAAATAGCTAAAGGACTTTACACATATGTTTCCCATCAGAAACACTTTTACTCTCTGTATTTTCTCCTATTCCATGGCTTGGCCAAAGTTGCATAACTTTTGCTCTTACCTTTAAAAAAGGATGTTTTATGTGCAAGAATTCCTGGCAATGCCCCTTCCTTAGACCTGGTAAATTAATTAATAGTGTAAATATTTGCACTAGAATTTAGAGCAGTGAGTAGTCTGCACTTCTGGATGCAAATTATGAATCAGAAATTATTGGCATCAAATATATCAGTTAAACTAAAGAGAGCAGCTGTTCCAGATGTAAACGTAGAGGACATACAGTTATGATAACGGATTGATACAAGGAACAGATTCAATAGCCTCTTATGCAAAAGAAAATCAGAGCTATGGGAATACATAAAAGACACTGTGAAGGCTGAAGCAGATACAAATATTCCCAAAGTTTCAAAGTCAAAAAGATCCAAGTGGCTTTTAGAACAAGCTATCATGATAGCAAAGAAAAATGGAAAATAAAAGCATCAGTTGTTCCAAAGTCATGCAAGAAAGGACAAGGAACTACAATGTCAACAAGTAGGTGATAATAAGAAAAAATAAAAGAAAAATGAGAGATGTTTTTAAGAAGATCATAGAAATCAAAAGCTAGGAAATGACTATTCACAGAGGAAATCTATTACAAGGCAATGAGATTAAAAAAAGAAAGAAACCCATTACATATGGGATTGTAGAAATAATTATGCACAAAGAATATATCTATGAATCAAATCTACTGCATGGTGACTCAAGGCAGGTAATAGGTCAGCTCTTAAATACGATAGCCCAGGTTTGGGTGAAATACCCCTTCAACTGTTTAAAGTTTCATGTTGTTCTATGTCAATAAATATGGAACAAAACTATCTGGCCTACAGATTAGACAGGAGGATTGTACATGCATATAATTGAAGTTGGAAGAGAAAGTATGAATTATTGAACCGTTGCACTAATTACTTAGTCAAGCAAAATTTTACTTAAGAACTTACAAGGAAGAACCTATGGAACAAGGAGTGTAATATGAAGAAGGAGGTTTCAGAAAAGGCAAATATCAGATAGCTAAGGTAAGATGAATAACAGAGAGAGCAAGTGAATTTAAAGAGGTTAACCTGCTTAACTGACTATAGCAAAGCTTTGTGTAGATTGTGTCATAATATGAACTATATTGTGTGTCACAACACTTGAGCATTCTTCTCAGGAGTCTTTGTAATGAACAAGAAGCTACGATAAAAAAATAGACTGGGAGAAAGAGCAGTTCAGAATAGGAAAGGGAGTGAGACAAAAAATGGTCATTAGTCTTCTATCCATTTAATTTATATAGCAAATGCGTTATAAGAAAGGAAGGACTAGAGGAAATAATAGTGGGAAATCAAAATAGGAAGCTGATATACTAACCACTTAAAATATATAGACACCGCTTCATTAGACAGAAGTAAAGAAGACTTAGAAGAACTCATTATAAAACTAAAAAGGAAACTGAAAAACCTGAGTTAATCTGATTTAGAAGGGATGGTATACTGTAGAACTGAAGAAGAGATTGTTCCCAGGGCAGTGGCAAACAGGATAACAGAAGATAAATATATCAATATCAGAACTACAATGTTTGTAACATAGAGCTCTGAAATCTGAGCACTGAGAAAAAGCAAGAGAAATAAAATAAATGCTTTCTAATTGCAAATTTGGAGGTGGCTATTTAGAGGGTTATGAAATGAATGTACCTTTAACTATACTGAATCAAATAAACACTGACTGCTTACTGGGATAACAATTATAGGTAGTCTTCAATTTATGACTACAGCTGAGCCTCAAATTTCTGTGGCTAAGCAAGGCAGTTGTTAAGTGAGTTTTGCCCCCATTTTACAACCTTTCTTGCCACAGTTGTTAAGTGAATCCCTGCAGTTGTTAAGTTAGTAACACAGTTGTTAAATGAATCTGGCTTCCCCACTGATTTTGCTTGTCACCTTTGCAAAAGGTGATTACATGACCTCAGGACACTGCAACCGTCATAAATACATGTCAGTTGCCAAATGTCTGAATTAAAAGAGTCATGTCGCCTTTTTCAGTGTCATTGTAATTCAGTCACTAAATGATGGTTGTAAGTCACGGACCACCTATAATAAGCAGAAATACACATATTTTGGGCCACAATACAAGTGAACTGAAAAAAATGCTATACTTTTTGAGGTTAAGGTCAAATAGAAGAAGGAGAAGAATGGGCAAGTTGGATGGAGGAACACAAGACCTATTGTAATAATTTGCAATATTATATTATATATTATAATAATTTGCAATATTCATCTATGCAGTTACTAAATGTCCACCCAATTAGATGGTCCTCAGAATATGCATCAAGTAGAAAACATGCTTTGGGTCCAGCGTGGATGTACTCAAGAGCTCTTTAAGAAAACTGTGCCTTTTCCTGCCTTTGCACAATAGCCATGTGATCCCAAGACAGTACACACTTAAGGAAACATCATTTACCCCAAATGCACATTTTCCTTGTGATACATGGCTACCATACAAACCTACCTAGAGGGTTTTGTATGCATTTTTTGTGGAAGTACAAACACATACAGCATGTATACCCATACCAGATCCAGAACATATTTCTTTTTAGGTCATCCCCCCCCCCCCCATTGCAGATATAGCTAGCTGAGAGCATGTTTTTCAAAATAAACTTATTTTTAACAATTTAAAAATAGTATAGATAAAATTAGTTTTTAAAAAAGGAGTAAAAACACAGAAAGAGAACCAGGAAGACCAACATCTTGCAAACAGTCCCTTTAGCCTACCCCAAGTAGCTGGAATTCCCTTTCCACCTAATTATACCCATTCATTAGCCTCTTTTAAAATGCACAGCTGGGTAACAGCTTAGCATGAGTCTGTTCATTGCCAAAAGGCCTCCTGGTTTCTCAGCCAGCTCTTTCTATCAGTCCCTATCAAGGTAATCTGTCATAACTCAATTTCTAAATCCTCTTGCTAACCGTATCCAATAGAACTCTCAGGGATAGTTCATTTCAGTTTCTACAATATGTGTGGGTGAACGTACTCTTTCTTCTCTCTACTGCAAGATTTTAATTTTCTACAATTCATCTAGTTCAGTTCTCCCGGACTGGTAAACAGACTGCTGGTTAGAGTTTGGTTTCAGGTTTGAATTCTTTGGTGACAAATCTTTAAAAGAATACACCCACTGTCAATCTGCTCCAAAACCAGAAATAGCTTTGTCTCAGATAAGGATTCTTAATATTGTGACACTTTTCCTCACAAGCCAGAAAAGTTGCTATCCTGGATGAGGTGCCCTAGGGTTTCAAGATCAAAAATAAGCAATTTTGTTCAGGTTTCCTTTTAATGCCCTGGACCTTGGTTCTTCTCCTATAAAATCCTTTTTCATATTTGCTACTGTTTTGTCTTGCATTATCTGCCCCTGTGGCACTAGCAAGGTTCTGCCTTGCCTTTATGCACTGCAGTCTTTGGGGAGACTCATAACCAACCAACACTTGACAAGATAAGTCAGCAACCTTAGGTCATTGCCATATGGGAACATTAAATGAGAACCTGGATAACAGATAAAAATTGAGTGAGATGATTGAAAGAGAAGTAAAGTCAAAACCTGCCCATCACTTATTTAAAAAACCTTGATAAAGATGTTGAGCCTGATAGGAGACATAATAGTCCACTCATTCACATGGCTAAATTCTTTAAAGGGGATCTCAATATGTCTTATATACAATTAACCAATATCAACAACGGACAAGCCTTCAAGGTACTAATTTGAATTATGGGTAATCCTTGAGTTACAACATGGGTGTCAAACTTGCCGCATCACGTGACATATCTTGACTTTTTTTGCATTGCCGGAGCTGGAGTGGGCGCGGCCTCCGTATGATGCAACCGGCCCACAGGCTGGCAGTTTGATACCCCTGATCTACAACCATTCACTTAGTGATAATTCAAAGTTACAACAGCACTGAAAAAAGTGACTTATGACAGTTTTTCACACAACTAGTACAGCATCCCCATGATCATGTGACCTGTAAGTATCTCTGCTCCAATTGCTAGCATCTGTTTTGACAGCCACCCCTCCAGAGCCATTGGTTGCTACCTTCCATGGCTACTTCATCCTGAGCTGCTAGACTAGGGGTGTCCAACCTTGGCAACATTAAGACTTGTGGACTTAAATTCCCAGAATTCCCTAGCCAGCATAACTGGCTGGGGAATTCTGGGAATTGAAATCCACAGGTCTTAAAGTTGTCAAGGTTGGACACCCCTATGCTAGATCATTTATCTTGTTTCTTTTGAAACCTACTGATGAAACAGTATATCTTCCTTCATTTTCATTTTTTAAGCCCATCCCCTGGTGAACTGGTGAAATAAAGGATCTTTCTTTTGCTGCTGTTGTTTCTTTTTTTATTTAAATCTATTCCACAGATCTAAACTCTGGGAGTTCATTGGAGGAATAGGAGGATGGGACTAGCTAATAGAAGGGAAAGGAAAGGAAAGCAGCAAGGAGAAAGAGTGGGAAAAGTAGGAATCTGTGCATGCACACACACATTCATGCAGGCAAGTACATCAAGAAAGCAAGAAAGCTCCTGTAAGTTTTCCTGATAACTGTGCAGAAAGAAAAAAACAACCCACTGGATGCAACTGCCAGTTGCCCTGAACTACAATCTAGTAACATTTCCAGGCTTGCTGAAGCTCTTCTAATAAGCTTGCATAGCAAGTGCTGAAAACAAGGATATCTTTGAACTGAGTGCAAAGCCTGGAGTGAAAAATTCGTAAGAATTTATCAGCTTCTCCTTCTAGCTTGAATGAAAGCAAGGTGAAATGGTGGCATTTCATGTTTGCTCCATCAGCGTATCCTTGGACTAATGAAATGATCACTATGAGCAAGCAATAGGTAGTTGGACTAGATGACCTCTAATATCACTTCCAATTATATGATTCTATGACTGTTGGACGTTCTTACTGACACAAATAGAAAACATTTACCCTGAAAGACCTGCTCACAAAAAGAAAAGATATATTTGCTTTCTCAGCACAGGTACGAGGGGTAAAGAAGCATGGGGATCCACCAGTTAGGGGCCATCAGGACAGAATATCTGACCAACATCATTGCCATAGCTTGAAATCCAGAAAGTGATTTCTTAAACTGGCTTCATTTGCAGTTATTATCAACACAGGAAACAAGCAACTTGTAAGTCTGCTGGTGCTGTGAAGTCTCCCCAGCCATAGCTCTACCAGTGATACTATTGCCATGGAGAGGACATTATAAACAATGCTGCTACTTCATACCCTATCTAAGACCTGCCTGGAGCAGCTTCAAATTTGTCTCACCTCTTAAAGTATATGTGATTAAATCAGTGTGTGAAATTCAGCCTTCCTCTATTTGCATTACAACTAGTCCTCAATTTACAACCTTTTAATTACCGACCATTCAAAGTTACAACTGCACTGAAAAAAGTAATCTTCCACTGATCCTCACACTTATGCCCATCACAGCATTCCCATGGTCCCACGTTCAAAAAAAGAGACTGGTTATAATAATAGAATCTT